GCTAGTGGTTCCAAGAGTCCCGCCTGTGTTAAGCGGTCTGACTTGTCCTTCTGGCATACTAGATAAGTCTTCATATACTGAGCAACGTCATCGGCCATTTGAGGCCAATAATATGCACGGCGAAGTAACGCCATGGTGCGTTCTTCACCGGGATGGCCGGCCCACAGAGTATCATGACATTCCGCCAGAAGAGTCCTTCGTAGATCTCCTCCTTTAGGAACATAAATTCAGTTCCCTTTCACTTTCAGAAAACCATCTTCCATATAGAACTGGCGAGTCTTGCCCTGTCCCACCAAATCAACCAAATACTGTGCAGCAGGGTCTTTGATGAGTAAATCATGTATCTGGTCCTTGATGGAGGTGGCTACTTCGCTCCCCCTTAGGGTGGCGAGTAGGCACACCGATGCTAGATCAGCTCTCCGATTGTGCGCATCACCAACATGATTGGTCTTCCCACTTCGGTACTCCAGGTTGAAGTGGAATTCAGTTAGGAGTTCCTGCCACCTGGCCTGTCGACCATTCAACTTTGGCTGGGTCATGTAATGGCTAACAGTTGTGTTGTCTGTCTTGACCACGAATGGGGTTCCCAGCAGATAGTGCCTCCAGAGGCGCAAGCAGTGGACGACAGCCAATAATTCTTTCTCATGGGCGGTATAGCGTCGCTCTGCATCTTTTAGCTTCCGACTCTCGTACGCTACAGGATACCCTTCTTGTAGCAGGACTCCACCGAGGGCATAGTTAGATGCATCTGTTTGTACTTCGAATGGCTTGTCCAGATTAGGAAGGGCCAAGACGGGGCTACTAGACATAGCCGCTTTAAATACGTTGAAGGCCTCTGCTCGCTTGGGTCCCCATTCCCAAGGCATGACCTTCTTGAGGAGTTCTGTCAATGGTACTGCAATGAGGGAGTAGTCTTTCACGAATCGCCGATAGAAATTGCATAGACCAAGGAACGCCCTCAAGGCGTGGATATCCTTAGGCGGCGGCCAATCTGTGATTGCCTGAATCTTCTGCTGGTCCATCTTGATCCGCCCTTCCTCGATGACATGTCCGAGGAAGTCAATTTGCTTTTGAGCAAAGGAGCACTTAGATAGCTTCGCATATAGTTCATGCTCCCGCAATCGA